CTAGGCCATGCATTCATTGCCTGAGACGCACACAGCAGCTCCAGTCATCACAACTATCTTCTCTTCCATAGGAATGTGCCGGGGAACCCCTCTTCTCCTTATTCTGTGCCATCAAGCAGCAGATGGAAAAGGGTCCCATCGATGCCATCACTGGGGAAGCCCGATACTCCTTGAGTGAGGACAAGCTCATCAGGCAGCAGATTGACTACAAGACCCTGGTGGGTGTCTGCAGGAAGCTTCCCCCACCCCAAGCTACCTAATGATTGTCTCCATTTGGTACTGCTAGAACAGAGCGCGGGGTGGGTCAAGAAGGGTGGTAGCCAAAGGATCGTGTATTTAGAGCTAGAAGTGACCTTAGAGATTATCTACTCTGTCAATTTACAAATAAGAAACTGAGATCCAATGAGCTATAATGACTTTCCAAGGCTATGTAAATATTAAAGTGCAGAGCTAGAATTTGAACCCAGATCCAAGGGGCAAATTGTAGATGAAGAAGTCAGAGAAGTAACTAAGAAAAAAGCCCAACATGTCCCCAGACCCACTGACTCTTTAAAAAGGAGGCTCATAGTATCATAGCTCTGGAGGGGACCTCTAACATCTTGAGGTGGCAGCGAGCTCAGTGGTTATATAATCCAATTTCCTTATTTTACAGGTGAGGACGTGAGGTCGAGGGAGGTAAAGCAATTTGTCTGGGGTGACACAGCTAGCAAGTATTTGAGATCAGATTTGAACCCAGGTTTTCCTAACTGCAAATGCAATCGCCTCTCCAGTTCGTAATAGATCAGTGGGAGTGGGCACAGTGTAAGAGTGGGAAGGAGTGTCATGAAAGGGAAGTCACTGAGACAAGAACTGTGGTCTTGTGATTTGCAGTCTTACATTTCTGCCCGTAAGTCCCCAATCCCATGTGTCAGACACAAAAGTGACCGGGGCTACAGACATGGGAAGTGCTTTCTCTGTCTGTCTGTGTCTGTGTTTCTGTCTCTCTCTCCCCTTTTGGGGTCATTTTCCCACTCATATATACCTAGGATATTTCTGCAGAAAGAGCATGGCTATAATTTATCTCCTGCTCCTCCTACTCATAGACCAGGTCATCACTATTTCTGTATACAGGGAGAAGAAAGAGGAAAAACTGAAAAAGGAGAGTGAGGCTAAATAAAGAAGAGAGGGAGAAATAACCCTTAGGGGAAGGGAGAGAGAGACACAGACAGACACAGAGAGAGACAAGAGACAGAGAGACACAGACATGGAGAGAGAGAGACAGACAGAGAGAGTTAAATAAAAATGAAAGAGGAGTGAGGAAAAACAGAAGGCAGAGATTTAGCCTAACAGAAACTCCTCCCACCCTACCCCCCTTTAAGGTTCATTCCAATACTCTGATTCTCAGGCGATCCTGCCAACCAGTCCCCAAAGTATAAGCTCACAGTCCCCAAGGTGGGCTAGGGAGACAGTAACAGCTAGCCCTGAACAAAGCCCCTCTCTTCTCGATGGGAATGATTTGATGCTAATCAGCTTTTCCCACCCCCATCTTCAGAAAGCCCCATGAATCCCGATAGGCATCTTAACAGATTTACAGGGATTGGCTTGGCTGATGAGGATTCAGAGCAGCAGCATGTGAATAAGGCCACTGCTTCCTCACAGTCACTATCTGCTAAAGAAGAGACTTTAGAAGCTCCTATTTAAAAAGGGGTGGGGGAAACCTTCCAAAAATAGAGACCTGAATAGATTTCTTAATGAGACAGAACTACTGTTCAAGTGTGTCTCCTGTCTGTTCGTTCTCTCTCTCTCTCTCTCTCTCTCTCTCTCTCTCTCTCTCTCTCTCTCTCTCTCTCTCTCTCTCTCTCTCTCTCTCTCTCTCCCCCCTCCCTCTCTCCTTCTCCTCCTCCCTCTCTCCCATCTCCTTTTCCCCCACATCAGATCAATGTTGAATCCAATGAAATGAGTTCTATTAATATTTTGTCCCTAAATGGTGATACATTTTATTTCTGGAGAAAGACCATTGTTAGACTATCAAGTCCAATGTCAGGCTCTGTCACATACAAAGGACATGAAAAACCTAAGTATGTCAGGGGAACTCAATGAAGAAAGGGTCATAGGAGCAGATATTGGGACCTAGAAGTCATCCAATTCAGCCCCAAATTTTTTACAGTTGAGGGAACTGAGATGCCAGGGACTCATCCAAGTTAAGTGAAAGTGGCAAAAGTCACTGGACTCTCTGACTCCAAAATCAGCCTTCTTTCAACTGAACCATGAAGAAGGGTGACATTAATTGAAATGGAGAGGTCTGGAAGGGCAATTTAAATCAGTGGAAGGATATTACAGTGTACTGAGTGTGAGGTGCACTTCCATCCCCAGTAAAGAGAGAGAAAATGTCCTTAGATGGCATCAGAAGGGATTTAGAAAAACCCTCCAGAAAGAAGGTTTTTTAATCTAAGGAAGATAGCAGGAGAATCTGGAAGTCACTGGCACTTGATCAAGTAGCCTGAGATGGCTTGAAGATAGACCTGCCTAAGACATGAGGTAGGACTGTAGGAAAAGGAGAGCACGAGACACACGTATCTATCAGCGTCATTACTTACAGGTCACACATCTTAAATAGTTGCTGGTTGAGTAAGAGGCAGATTAGAAGACCCTCCTAGTCCCACAATTTCAAGGACTTTATAAACTAGGGATGTCCTCTAGCCCCTGATGAACTGTTTTTAGAGAGAGATGCCTCTCCACTGGGCACTACGGCAGGACTGTTATCGACCTTGATGCAGTCAAGAGCACTGTCTTTCTGACTGTGAGCAGATGGGTTGCTTAACATCCCTCTGGGACAGTATGCCTTCAGGAATCCCCACTGTGCCATCCAGAGCCAAGGCAGAGTTTTGACGTAGTTCTATATAGGGCAGAAGAGAGATTGGGCTCCTGTTTCTAGGCTTCCTTCCTCTCCCTTCAGTCAAGAGTTCATAATCCTGAAGTCTACAAAGAGACAGACTTCCTAGCTACATTCTCTAACCCAGATCTTGTGATTTTGACAACAGGCATGGCCAGAAGATAAGCACGGGCATACAGAAATCATGTTTCAGTAGGCATAGGGTCATAGAATCAGAGCTGGAAGGGCCCTTAGTAGGGTCTAACTAATCTAACTTCCCTCATTTTGCAATGCTGAGGTCATTCATGTGGTAAGAGATAGAGCCCAGATCCTCTCCCTCCAAGGCCAGCCTTGTACCCCAGTGCTTCCAGTTTGAGATAAGAGCTTGAAAATTTGGGAGGGGAGTGGGTATCATGGAGAAGGCATCTTTTCAAGGTTCAAGGAGCCTTCAGCCTAGCTAGCCAAGTCTTGCAGAATGAACACATGGTCCTGAGCTCTTTCCCATTTTCAGGACAAGGATTTAGTTTTATAGTTTTTAAGAGGTTTCTATTTATGTGTGTGTGTGTGTGTGTGTATGTATGTATGTTTTCCTCTTTCTTAATGTAATAAGCATGTTACCACATGAGCTCAGTGCAACAGTCTGGTTACTAATGAAAGGCAGATATCAAGGAATTGAGGTCTTAATTGCCACCACATGCAGGACTGTTGCTATTGTCTGGCTCTAAAATCCAAATGTGACACTTGGGAAATAGATATTGGGGCAAATGAAAGTTCAGAGAAGCTAAGGAAAGGGGAAGAAAGCCCAGGGAGCAGAGGCCGAATGAGGCCAGGCCCATAGGAACAGCCTCCTGGGCCTTCCCTGGCATTTGCCATGGCCCAGCCTGTTTTCAGAGAGGCATTGGCTCTAAGTATCTTAGCCTCAGTCATGTCTGGCACAAGTAGGCTGCCAACAGCATAATTATTTCTGAGTTTCTGAGCAGTAAGAAGGTAAATCCTAGAAGCAGGACAGGACCACCCTAGTAACTAAAGAGAAAATAACGTGAAGATTTGATCATTGGGGGTCTTTTTCATGTGCTCGTAGACTGGTTCCAAAGACAGCAGTTGAGTCAGATAATGACCTGTATTCATACACAAAACTAGTCATGGACAGATCCAGGAATAGAGCACAGATAGCCTGATCTTGCATTTTTAAAGGGCATCTTTTATTTTTAAAGAGCGTGCTAAGTACTTTATAGATTGATCACATGCTGATCAGACAAAAAAAAAAGGAAGCCAAAAAGCTGTAACAAAACCTGAAACTTGAGGAATATTTTGAACGAACAGTGAAATTTCCTAATTTGTGTGAGGTCCTACTTATATGTTGCTGTTGTCATTACCAAATCAAAGAGTGGCTTAGTTAGGGGTGGTGAATGATGAGCGTACACATTCCCAAGTATGTGTTTGTGTTTGTGTATATTGGCGTCTGGTGCTCCCTCTCCATATTCCACAAACTTGGATTTCGGCCTTAAATGGAATAATCAGGATTTTAATGAGTTTGTCCTGGCAGGAAAATGGGCAGCCAGCTCAGTAAGTGAAATTTTCAAAAGAAAGGGAGAGACAGATAAAGTGAGAGAGGGATGGAAACAGAAACAAAGAGACTCATGGAGGGAGGAAGAGAAGGAAGGAAGGAAGGAGTGGGGAGGGAGGGAGGAATGAGAGAGAGGAGAAGAGGGGAGGGAAAGGGAAGGAATTAAGAAAGGGGGAGAGAGAAGAGAGGAAAAAAAAAACACACAGAGAGAAACAAGGAAGACTCTCCTGAGAAGTCATATATTCTTACCATACCAAAGAGGGAAGGGTGGTGAGCTCGACAGGGAAAAGGGGAGGGGGACAAAAAATCAAGATGACGTCTCTTCCTCGATTTCTCCCCCTATATGGCTCCAGACCCTCTGAGGCAAGAGTAAGAGGGAAAGCAAGGTCCTTGTGTGAAAGTGGGAGGAAACCCACAAAAGGAGACGAGGGTATGCACCACTCTCTCCTTTTCTCTGAGAAACCCTCTTCCATGCGCCCTTTATGCCTCTTCTCACCCCAGGTCTTAAGCTGTGTCAATCCAGACAATGTCACCAGCCCTGAAATCCCAGTGAAGATCCTCAACTGTGACACCATTACCCAGGTCAAAGAGAAGATCCTGGATGCCATCTTCAAGAATGTGCCCTGTTCCCACAGGCCCAAAGCTGCTGATATGGATCTGGGTGAGTGAGCAAGGAGTCTGCCCCTCAGGGCAAGGTCCAGGAGAGAAAAGTTTCTAAAAATGCCTTCATGCTGCTCTCCTCAACAAAAGTATTCAGGCACAGGTTTAATGATCATCTCTCAGGGCTGTAGATAGGAGCCCTGACTTGGTTAGGAGGTTGGACCAAATGGCCATTTCCAACAACAATCTTCTATGAGTCTACAATGCATGGTAGGAGGAGAAATGCTGGGATCCAAATTAGAGAAGTTTAGAGCTGAAAGATCCTTAGAGATCCTCTAGTCTAGTCTAATCCCCTCATTTTACAGGATTGTGATGGAAGCAAGACTAGAAACAGCAGAAGTGAATTAATTGTTATTCCAGACCAAGGATTTTTAACCTTCTTTGTGTCATGGACCTCTTTGGAAAGCTTGTGAAGCCTATGGAACCCATCTCAGAATAATGGCTTTAAATTAGTAAGATAAAATATATAGGATGCAAGAGAAACCAGTTGTATTAAAATAAGTTACCAAAATAGTTATTTAAAAAAAAATTTCCCAGACCCTCTGTAATCTATCCATGGACCCAGTCTGTGGACTACAGATTCAGAACTTCTGCTGTAAGGAGACGTGGAACAAGAGAACTATCCTCATGTCCTGTCCTGCTGTCCCCAGAAGTAACAGAGCTGGTGAGTGGTGGTGATGGGCAAGAGGAAAACAGCAGATGTTGTGTGACAGGCTCGCCTGATGCAAGTCTTAATTACCTCCATCATTTATTGAGCATCCTCACCAGTAGGATTGAAAGAGACAAAGAGTGATGGAAAGCAGGAAGGAGTCTAGGTAGCAATGACACGGTAGATAATGTGCTAGAGACTGAGTTATGAAAATTGAGCTCAAATTGTTCCTCTGGCATCCCATGACCATGAGCAAATCACTTAACCTCTGTAAATGTCAGTTTCCCCCTCTGTAAAATGGGGATAAGTCTTGTAGTAACTACCTCATGGGGTGGTTAAAAGGCTCCAGTGAAATAATGTATGCAAAGTGTTAGGTAAACTATAAAGCCTTGTATAAATGCCAGTTATTACTAGATTGATGTTTTCCAAATGATGGCCCTGGGCCAATCTGTGGTCCTCACTCTCGTCCCTGTCCATGCTCCCACCCTTTCTCCTTCCCCTTAGTTTTATCTCTACCAACACTGCTGAACACCTGAAGGATCTGGGTCAATGAGAATGGACAAGAGAAAAAATGAGAGATGGCAACTTTCAGGGGAGCAGAGCTTGGATATTTACTTGAAGTGGGTCTATGAATAGATTGCACAGCCTGCATAAGCACAGCTCCATTATGTGCAAATAATATAAAGATGTGGTCCACCTGAGTGTTTCATGCAGCAGGGTAGAGTGTCGCTGAGGGAAATACCAGTCTGATTCCTGATAGAGGTGAACATCAGTCTTCATGCTTATCTTGGGTGGGAGGCATCAGGGAGGGGGGGAAAGGAGGTTAATGTTGGCAAAGAAATATAGAAAGAAGAAGCAAGACAAATCCCCAACAGATGTCCCTCTGACCTTCAAGTGTACTTCAACTAAGCTATCCAATTCAAATGCGTAATTGTGATCCGGGAGTCAGAAGACCTGGATTCAAATCCTGCCTTCAGTGTTACCTAGCTGGGCATTTCATATCTCTGAGAGTCAATTTCTTCATCTGCAAAATGGGGATAAACAGCTACTTTGCTCTGCCTACTTTATGGAGGTGTTATGGGACAGCAAACCAAGTGTTTTTTGGAAGCTGCAGAGCTCGATACAAATGAAATATGTTACTGCTATTATTTTCTAAGATCATATACTTATAGTAAGTTTTACAGTGGAAGGGAGCCTTTGAGATTACGTGAGGTAGTACTCCTGAGGCAGCCAGTGATGTGGTAAGTAGATTACTGGACCAGGAGTCAAAAAGACTTGAATTCAAACCTGGCCTTAGACACTTAACTTGGGCAAGTCACTTAACCTCTGTCTTGGTTCTCCTAACCATAAAACAAAGATAATGATAGCGCCTACCTTTCAGAATTTTTGCAAGGATCAAATGCAATAATATTTGTAAAAGCACTTAGCACAGTGTCTGGCACATAGTAGGTGCTTAATAAATGCTTGTTTCCTTCCTCTCTCATTTACCGATGAAGAAATTGAGGCTTAGAGTGGTAAAGAGATTTTGACTTATCCAAGGTCTAATAGCCATTTATTGGCAGAGGCAGCAGTAGAACCCGGATCATCAAGCTTTCAACCCCATTGTTCTTTTCACTGTATTACACTGCCCCCAAAATTTAGGGAAGGAGTTTGAGCTACCTTTCCAATAACTCATTTTTAATCTCTAAAGTTCAAATTCAAAAGGATCAAATGAGATAATATTTGTAAGGTGCTTCCTTAGCACAAATCCTGGCACACAGGTACCAGAGAAATGCTTATTCCCTTCTCTCTTTTTTGAAATTGACCTATGATTTCATTGATATATGTAACTACCAGGTAAAGAAACTCCCTCTCCCCATGTGTATGTGTGTGTATATATATATATATATATATATATATATATATATATATATACCTTCTTTGCAGCTTATCATCTTAGAGAGCTGCTTGGGACCCCTGAGAAGTAAAATGACTTGCCCTGGGTCACATATCTGGTATGTGTTATAATAACAATAACTAGCATTTATATAATGCTTTCATTTGTGCAAATTGCTTTAAATATCTTATCTCGTTTGATCCTCACAACAACCCCTCAAGGTAGGTGTTATTATTATCCCTGAATTTTAAAAGCAACAGAGGAAGTGCATAAGAGAGACCAGTGGAGGGTAGAAGATGGAATGGAGCAGTAGTGATGATGTCAATGTCAATTTCAGTGTAATGTCAATTCCTCTCCCATCACGCTGTCCTTGGAGTGAATTGATATGTTCACAGGTGTCTGTCCTGCCTAGAGCCCTTGCTGCTCTAAGACTTGTGGGTCTCTACATGTAGAGTGTGCACCCAAAATGAAGACATACATGAGAAAGCCATGATCAGATCCAGCCTAGAGCTGCCCATCTGAATTGTGGTGCTTGAGCTTATCCCCAATCTCCCTTCTCCCTTACACTTATTCCATAGGGAAGGCCTCTGGACGCAAACTGAAGTATATAACATGTAACCATACAAAAATCAAGGTTCTTAAGTCCTATTCCTTTTCTTCTCTTACCTGTGGAAACTGGAAGAGGGCCCTTCCCTTTTCTCATCTGCAAAGGATAGATGGTAGTGTCCCTATATCAAAGGATGATATCATTTAAGAAAGGGAAATCCACATAATTTAGGTTTATTTTTAAATATTTATTTTATTTCATTTAATAAGCATTGATTTCCTCTCCTTCTCATCTCCCCCCCCATAGGAAAAAGAAAAACTAAGCCCTTGTACCAAATATGCACAGTCAAGTAAAACACTGTCCCACATTTTTGTTGTTGTTCAGTCATGTCTGACTCTTCTTGATCCCATTTGAGGTTTTTTTGGCAAAGATACTGGAGTGGTTTGCCATTTCCTTCTCCAGCTCATTTTACAGATGAAGAAACTAGGGGAAAGAGGATTAAGTGACTCACCCAGGGTCACACAGCTAATAAGTGTCTGAGGCCAGATTTGAACTCATGTCTTCCTGACTCCAGGTGTGGGTGCTCTATCCAACGTGCCACCTAGCTTCCCACATTGGCCATGTTTAAAAAAATCTGTTTCATTCTCTGTTCCTCATTTCTCTATCAGGAAATGACTTCTCTTATTTTGCAAATGAAGAAACTGAGGCCCAGACAGATAAGTGATTTGCCCAGACTTGCTTAGGCTCAAACCAATAGCATTTCTTGCTACATCAAGGTTTGGTATAACTGTGTTAGAGTGGCCATTGATGCAATTTTTATAGCCCTGGTCCTGACAGGAAGTATTATTCTACTGTTAAATGATACCAGCAACACATAAATTCATTAGCAAAAGCATTTAATTAAGATACAAAACAACATAAATAATAAGGAATATAAATAACGCTGCCAATCCTGTGCCTACTTAGCTCTGTTTTTTAAACCTCCTTCTTCCTGATAGAACCATGGTAAGGTAACCCAATTGTTGTGGGAAACATATTCCAGAGAATTTCTCCTAATAAGCAAAACTCTCTCTCCCCAGCATTTTGAGAAATGAGGTCCTTAGATCATGGTTAGTCATGTCCAGTGCACAAAGATAGTTGGGGCAAAGCTAAGACTAGAACCCAAGTCTCCTGACTCCCTGTCTTCCATTCTTTCCATTATACATCTTCTACCTCAAACCAGAATGTTAACAAAAGCAATGAGCTAGTCTGGGCTTCTTAGGAAGGAGATAAACTGGCAACTGTGGGGGAAAAAATCTTTGTGGAAATCCCTGAGTTTTCCTTTGAAATACTTTCTTCTTCTTACTAGTAAAGGTCATGATGGTAAAGGACAATGGAAACACCACTATATTTGTAATCAGAGAACTGCAAAATCCTACTTCTCTTACTGATTACTTCTGACACTGGGCAAGTCATCAGATCATAGATCATAGCTTTCTAATCTAAAATGAGACCTTAGAGGCCATTTGTCAACTTCCCCCACTTTATAAATGAGGAAACTGAGGCACAGAAGGTTAAATGATTTGCCCAAGGTCTCGTGATAAGTTAAATCAGAGGTGGGATTCAAATTCAGCTCTTCCTACTCTAGTGCTCTTTCCATTCCACCCAGAAGCCTCATATATATGGCATTTAATCTCTCTGAGCCTCAGTATCCTCATAAATAAAATGCTTGAACCGGAAGTCCTTTGTGGTCCCTTCTAACTTTAAATCTGTGATATGATCCTATGATCTGGATTCAACCCCCAACTCTGCTACTCACTGCCTTGTGTAAAATAAGGAAGTCAGACTAGACTCTTTCTAATATCTTCCCCTACTCTGAATCCTCTGATCCTATGACAAAGGGTAGCTAAGAAAGCAGTAGGTATTGCAGGCAATTACATAGTTGCCCAG